GATTGGCCAATTTAGGAGCACTTTGTGAATTTGAAAAGCCAAGCTGTTGCCAGTCATCGTGGAGTGGCCGATACATCCAGACATCACTGGCCAGGGAGCCACTGGCTAGTTCTCCTCCAAAGATAACCATATTACCCATCCATTCTACTGCTGTGTGGGAATGACGAGCCACCTGACAACATAAGAGCCAACCAGTGCAGAAAAGAAGTGAATGAAAATGAAAGGTAAATTAATAAATGTGAGCAACATGAACACAAAAAACAGGTAATTGGGGGAAATCAAGTTTTAACAGAACATATATTTCTATCAACAGCAATAAACTAATTACTTGTTTACATGGCATTTGAAGAATCAGGTTACAGCACAAGGCTGATTTTGACCAAATTGCGTACATAAACAGAGACAAAAGACACAGTATATGAGATGCAAGACCAGGAAGAAGCAAAAACTGTGTGTGTGTGTGTGTGTGTGTGTGTACATCCACAAACCACTTACAGGAGAGTGACCATAAGACCTGCTTTCCCATTGGTTGGATGAGAAGTTATATTTGATCAAGTCACCAAGAGCTCTGTTCAGGTCAAACCCTAGGGGAAAGGAAGTAAAAATCACATCAACCAGGGCTGGAGTGGTAATCTGGCATACCGGGCAAATGCCCGGTGGGCTGATGGAACGTAAATTATTTATTTATATAGGCCTAACTGTTTTTAAAAAATGGGACAACGATTGGCCCATAAAGCATGGACAGCGGCCCATTGGGTAACTTTCTATACAGACATTGGGCTGGCCCAATCACATCTCTTACTGGCCCCCCACCAACTCCCCCTCTGCCCTTTGTTTTTTGCATTGCGGGCCAAAAAAAAAACCAACATTCTTCAGACGTCTGCAGCCAAATACTTGAAGGAGTAAAGGCGAGCCATGGCCAATGCCAGGCAGAGAAGGAGGCTGTGTTAGCAGAGCAGAGTGACAAAGTGACAGGGCTAAATGCGAGAGAGCAGGAAGAGAGTGGAGGTGGAGAGGAAAGCATGGAGTAGCTCAACCTGTAGTGAGGGAGCAGGGAGGGAGGGTCATTTACACTGGGGACACTGGGGACAGGTAGCCACCACTTTTTGAAAGCATTTGTTAAAAATGTTCTGAAAAACAGCTTGCACCAAGAAATGTTAATTAACAAATAAAAATGCTATGAAAAAGGTTTATTTGCACAATAAGCCTGCAATGCAATGTAAATATAGAAGAAAACTCTGCGTTATCCAAAAAAAGTAACTTAAGCTAAAAAATAATAAGCTACTGATTACTGCATTCTATTATATTTTATATTGTGAATTGTCACCTGCCAATTTTGTGCTTCCCTTAATAAAGACCACCATAAATTGGTGCAGAAAATGTCTCCAGAATGCAGGAAATTAAGTGTTTAATGCTCAAAATCTTCTGGGGAGGACACCCAGACCCCCCAATCAAATATTTCATCAACAAATATTTTTTCTAAATAGTAGACATATTAAACAATATTCTTGTCATACAGTCATGGCCACCAATCTTGTGCAATGTCTCAGTGTTTCCTCACACCCCTAATCTGACCCCCTAAATGGAAGAATGGTGTATTGGTGAGGGGTGTCCGATCGATTTTGGTGACATCAAACCCACTGATGTCATTAATCATCAAAAACACTATCAGATACAGTAGAGTAAAAGTAAAAAAAATGTATAATTAATATTGTAGTTGTTTCAAATCGAACCCTTAAAATATAAGTTCTTTGTAGTTCTAAATAGTGTGCAAGTACAAGTTAGAGTTTAACAAATCTGCTGGAGAATGAAGGACCATTAAGTTGCTGCAAATGTGTTGAGAGGGGGTGTTCACAAATCTTAAAACAACATCTGTGGAAATTAAGTGTCACTCTCACCGCCAAACAAGTACAAGGCTCCAGTGGAGGACAGGTACACGCCAGCAGAACCCGTCCTGGGAGGCGTGTAGGGGTTTTCCTCACTCACACGCCACCACTGCCCTGCACCACTGTCGTTATGGAAACCAAGCTGGCAGCTGTGACCCAGGAAGCCTGGGTTACACACACAGCGCTCTCCTTTCTGAGACAAAACATGGAGAATTTCTCTGTTAAAGGCAGGAATCTGTGTGTGTGTGTGTGGTGTGTGTGTGTGCGTGTGTTTGTATTTCCTACTCTTACCTTGTCACACTGGCCATTCACAGAACATGCCTGGGAGCACAGAGGGGTCGTACAAGCTGCTCCTCCCCAACCCTGATGGCAGTGGCACTTCAATGTAGAGGAATCACAGCGTCCGTGACCGCCACAGGCTCCAGGGCACAAAGAGAAGGTGTAGGTTGCATTGAAGCCAAGGAGGTTGTAATTAGCATCACTGAATAGATGAAGCAGCATCTGGAGCAAGGAAATTAAATAACAGACACAAAGTTAACGTTTGCCATAGAATGCTTTAGGATTTCTTTTTTTAGGTGTGAATTGGTTACCTTGCCAGACTTGGCTTCAATAGGTTGAGGCAGAGTGTTGCCACTCAGACTGGCTAGGAGAGGGCTCTGGTAGGAGTCTCCATCATAGACAAACAGGTAGTCATATGTACACTCAGTGTCCATAAAGGTGAAATTTAAGACAATGCGGTGACTGCTGTTGGGAGCTGGAAGATGTACAAAAGGTGGGAAATATCAGTGAGAGTAACTGACAGTCTGCAAATTACTTGTTTCATCTCCAATTTCCTGTACACAAGATCTTAGCACATTATACCTTTGATAAGCCACTCGCAGTTCCCATTGACAGAATAGTTTCCTGGACCATCTGTGACATAGCCTGGTGGTCCCCTCAACACGTGCCTGTGGCCCTTGCAGTCCCCTGCCTGGCACAGGCAACTCAGCCAACAGCAGAACCACCAGGATGAAGGAGACAGGGAGGGGGGAGGCCATCACTGGCACCACCTGAATGATGGGAAGAAAAAAGGTTAAAGAGAATAATTTGGTGTTGGTCCTAATACAACACTTTACCACCACAAATATGCAGCAGCATCATGCAGCAAATGCGGACCAACATCCTAAATTTCAGTTGGGTCAAGCACTTAATCTACCACACAACAAAAATAAACTATGTCAGCAGGATATAGAGGATTATTTCTATGTAAATCCAGAGTCTACTAACACTATTTCGTGTGGCCTTAGCAGTCCCCTGCCTGTTTACATAATTCTCTTTCAGACTGATCTCAGGGCAAGATTTTAATTTAAGTATGGATAAACCTTCTGCAAAGTGCAATGTCATTCACACTGCAGAAGCAAACTCACATAAAAGTGGCTAAATTACAAAATTCACTTCTCAGAGGAAACCTCTGGAAAAATACTGATTACTGAGCTAACATCTGTTAGCCGTATGTAAATTAACGTTACAGTAACGTTAGCTCACTAACGTTCACAGTGCACCAATCTCACAAACATAACAGTAACGTTAACGTCACACTACGGTCTTTTACACATGTAGTGTTATATGCAAACACTGCTATACTTTACACCAACATAGCGTTTATTAATTGCTTACATCATTCTCACATCCAACTAGCTAAAAGGATAAAGTAAGTAGTATCAGCAACAAGGTGCTCTCAACAGACTATCACAACAAAGCTAACGGAAAAGCTTGCTAAGCTACCTAGCCGAATAACGTTTACAGCCATGGGCCGTTAGCTGGCTAACGTTGGTTTGTATATTTGCATAATGGTACTCACCAGTTCCCGTCTCTTTGGTCCCATGGTAATTCACATTTTCGGTGACCCTTTAACGCTAGCTACCACATCAGCTAACTTGTCGTTTGTGAGTGCACAAAACTGACAGCTAAATCAGCTTGTAGCTTCTGAACCACCGCAGAGGACAACTGACTGGGTCTACAAGACAGTGGTCTGCTAGCTTGTTAGCTACGGCTAACGTTAAGCCAAATCCAGATGCGCAATCGTCATTGGATGAAAAATCTACCAGGATAAGTCATTCTTGGGAATAATTCATCACTGTGAGATATATGTATCTAAAACTGGGCCATTACACTAGTAAGAAATGCTGCCCGCTAACAACGAAACATTTTGTCCGCATCGACCCGATCCCTGCAGTCCATGGTGAGACTGATGCCCGTTGTTTTGGTGTTCCTGGCTGGCTAGCAGCGACCGATGGTTGCCAACACAAAAGACAGCGCTGCAAATAGCATGTCCCACCACTGCCATCCAGTGGAGATGGGAAACAACGTTCAAACATCTGGAGATGATGTTAAACAGAGACGTTTTATATAGCCTATAAGGAACTTTGTTTTAAACCACTCAGAGACAATAAATATTGCAAAAGGCCGTTTTTATACCTTCGTTATGCACTGTACAACTATCCTCTGAATTTCCTGCAATTTTATCTATGCAAATATCGAATTTACAGGGCAATACTCTTTCCATTATAAAATGAAAAGTAAAGTATGTCCATATACTATATCATATACATAAACACCACTTCATGTATTTCCATTCAATGCTTATTTCTCAGCACTATTTATAATATTTACAATTTACAGAAACACTATCTGTATACAGAAATGTTGTAAACATGTTGTTGGCTATTGTTTGAGCATAATAGTTCTGTTTGTGTTTACATATCTTGTTCAGTTTTGTTGTCCTGTAAATTGTTTCTGAAACTGTGTGTACATTTAGAGCATCCAAGAACCAGAGTCAAATTCCCTGTATGTGGACAGATGCTTGGCCAATTTAGCTCATTCTTAGAATTGCAATTTGAATAGATGGTCAACATATATCAAAGTATGATTCACTCAAAATACTTTTAGTAACTTTTAAATCTTTTGTTACAACAATTAACTACATGCAATCTAATCATCTGTCAAGGCATATTCCTCCCAATTAATTATGATTACCATGTAGTCTTTATTCACATATGTGCCACAAGTTCAGACTTTCCTTGACTTGTAATTACTTATTGTTTTATGTGGTTCTAATTAATGAAACAAAACAAATCCTATTTTAACATTTTATTGAGCAAGTGTTAATATGGAGACAGCATACTCAGATTTCTGCATACCGACTCACAGCAGTAATAGTAATATATCCTACTTCAAAGATTGCCAAAGTTGTGTCCTGCTGAGCTTGACTACTTCCTGGTCACACTCTGTGTAGTGAGTGATGAACAGCAACCTAATACAGTTATCCCATACAACAATATTTGAGCAGAATCAACAAAATCATATTAAAGTAGTAATTACGTGATTTAAAAAAAAAAAAGCACATTTCCCCAAAGCATAAATGTAGTCCATTCTTTTGATTCTTGATAAAAATGACTCCCTAAAGTATCCAAAGATTACACATTGCTTCCATAATAGCCCCAAAATCTAGTGAAGCAAGAAACTTCAATTATTATGTTCACTCTGGACTTTTTGGTGTTTTATTGACCTCTGGTTTTAAGAGCTGAATGCAAGAGTTTCCTCCAGTGCAATGATAAATCAAGAGCGACTGTTTAATTAATTCACCTCTCCAACTTCATCAATATTGGTCACCAGCGTTAGCCATGCTGCCAGTTATTTTGGTGTCATTTTTTATTCTGGACTGTCACTCTGTAGTAAAGTGTCAAAAAACTGGTCAATCCTGTTTCCTCCAGCTAAGGCACATCTTTAAAAAAAAAAAAAAGGTCCTCAACATCCTCTGCTGACTCTGAGAAAGCCAGTCATGCTTTTATCACATTTTAGTTCTTGCAATTTCTATTAAGCTATCAGTATTCAGAAAAGCCATTTCTCAGCTTAACTTGTGCATCATGCAGCTGCAAGGCTTTCAATAAATGCAAAGACCACAAAACACTTAATCTAGTATTTGTTCACTGGCAGCCTGCATGTTAAAAAGTTGGTTTTAAGCATTACCCAGTTATACTTATGACATTCTGTTATGACGTTCATTTCTGACATTAATCCCTTATACCAAATCTTAAAGTCGGCCTTATCATTTAAATGTTTTCTTAAAAAATATTTTTGTGAAGCTTTTATATTTTAGAAATCCCATTTAGTGTATATATATATATATATATATCTCATTTAACATCCCATACCACATAACTTTTTTCTATCCTCTTGATTGTCTGCCCCATTTTTATTATGTTTAAACTCTTCTCATTGGCAGATTAAAATTTTTTAGTTTGACTTTTGTCTGACTGTTAAAGTGTTATTCGATTTATCTTGCTTTGAAAACATTTTTTTATTTGAAAACATTAATTATTTTCAGCTCTTAAGTCAACAGCCATCCCTCTGCTGTATACTGGCCCATCATGAGGTGTGTATAGCAATTTTTCCTGGAGCCAGATTCATTGGCGAACTATGGAGCCCAGGGCCAAAAATAGGAAACATCTTCTCATCAAACTTGTGTGTTAAAGTGACAAGGTGCTTTGCTGTCCCCCCATCCCAAAATGATACTTCTCCTTTATCCATATTCAGCTTGATGCGGATCTTTTCGGGACGCTGCTGCACCTGCAGCTCTGTACGCTCAGGTGTTAAGGCGGTGTACACCCCTTTGCTCAGTCCAATGGACCACACACCACGACTCGTAGAGACAGTGAACTTCTTTTTACGGGCTACTGACTCTTTGCACACTCCCACAATCCACTTGGGATTGTCACCAACAATGACATCCCATCTGTGTTTCCCAGAGGTGTAACCTTCAGCACCCAGGACAAACACACAAGGATCAAAGCGCTCCGGATTGTCAGGAGTGGTCAGCCGCTCTGAGCTTTCCTTCACACTGGTTAGGTCAGGGCTCAAGGACAACCATGGAGATGCTGTGTTCGGGTTTAACACCACAGAAGCTGCATACAGGAAGAGACAAGACACAACTATGTTATATTGCTAACATTCGTTGAATATACTGACAACGAATTTCAAGTCACATACAATGTTAATAGACTGAAGAATGCAGGTATTTTGTGTCAATATACAAGTCAGTGTTGCCCCAGACTAATGTTTCAAGTACACAAATACATTTTTAATGAATTTTAAGACACCACTGAGGTCATCAGAAATACTGTGTCCAGTCGCTGTTTAAAAAATTTAACAAACACACAATAATTGGTCCAACACAGGTACAGTATACGCTCCTAGTCCTTAACGCCACAGGCCATTCCCAAATCCTACAGAGGAATTTACTCACTATATTTAACATGGGCCTGCATGTTCTTCCAGACGTTGAAGCTCAAAGCACCAACATGCTTGCCCATATTCAAAAGAGACTCATCAGTTAGGCAAGGGTCTTCACGAGTCCACTGAGCTCTTGAGCAAAGACAGCAATATGTGAAGTTAACAAGAAACATTTGTAAATTGTCAAAATACAGCAGAAACCTTGATAAAGCAGATCTTCTGCAGAGTGGAATGGAGAAGAAAATGTGTAACTATTCAACCGTGCAAAAAATGTATTTGAAATATCCAACAATCATGCAAATATAATGGGAAATATGTGGTGAAATGTACTTCCCAGTCTACTTTGCATTGTTTATTTACACTTTCACAATTACAGATTAGGCAGCACAAAATATGTGTTTTTGCAACAATTCTGCAGTTACTTACTTCCTTTTTAAATTCTGGAAATTCTAAAACATAAAACAGATTACTTGAGATTAGTTTAATGCAATTTTTTTAAAGTCTTGAAAACACTTAAACATCTGAGAAAAAACATGATAATCTGATAAGTCAGTCTTATAACTGTGGGGAGGAGCTGCCTTCTCTTACCCGCAGGAGGGGTAGATCCTCATTGCCCATCTCTTTCTTCAGAGAATCAATGAGCTCCTTTAGATCAGTGATGTCCTTGTTTGTGTTGGTAATTAGCTCCTGTATGGCAGCAATCTTCTCCTCCTCCTCAGCAGCCAGGGCTCTTAGACGCAGAGCTTCTTCTGTAACAAGCGCCTTGCGGAGCCTCTCAAACTCAGCTTGATCTGATTCTCCGCCTGCCCAGCTTGAAACTGCGTTACATGAGATGAGAGTTTACATATAGGTTACATATGGACAAAATAAAATTGGTGAAGTCTATAGTGTGTTGGATGTCCTGTACTGTCTTTTTATACTGTATGGAAGGTCCTGTTGCTCACTGAATACGGTCAGATGTGACAGTAACTTTACCTTGATGTATTGCACCGCGTTGTTGAGTTTATGTGTCATTTTCTTGTGGGACTCCACTTTCTTTTCAAAAATCTGGACTTTGAACCCCAGCTCCCTCTGCAGGATGAAAAAGCAGAATACACTGTGCAGGACAAGGTTTTTGGCAGCTTTGAATGGCAGTATGAGAATAGTAAGGAGTGTCATTTTGTGAATTTTGGAGAGTTAAGTAGAGGTTTCATGATAGGCAAGTGGAGAGGTGGTAGGGATTTTTGGATATCTTGTAATTCAAATCTGGCTTTAAGCACTGAATGTTGATGTACCACAGCTTGGAATGTGCCAAACATGTGAATAGTAATCGTTGTATTTAAACATGAATGTACATTCAGTTTCAGTATAACTTTATGGGGAAAACGTGGACTTAACATTACAGTAAGTACGTTTCTAGCCTCACTGTTGAGTATTTCAGTCAACAAAAGGTGGAGTCAAGTCAATCTTTTATTTCCTGCAGAAAAACTGTGCCATCGAGGAAAATGTGTTTTCTTCAGGAAGGAAATATCTGGCGCCACGCCCAGTTGATAACTGATCAGAGCAGTTTACCTTGCATATTGGCGCTCCCTCTTTCAACGGCCACAGCCTGTGTGTGTTGTGTAGAGAGACACAGTCCACACACACAGGCTCCTCATCCTTCTCACAGTAGAGCTCCAGGGGCTTCAGGTGCAGGTTACAGGCGTCCTCACTGACAGGTTTCTGATTCGGCCGCCAGTTGGTCTGTTTGAGGAAAGTCTCACAGGCGTTGCTGAGCGCACGGTTGGAGACGTCCTGCCCTTCCTCAAACTTCTCCCTGCACAAGGGACACTTCTTGTTGAACTGAAGACTTCTCTGCAGACACTCCCGACAGAAGCTGTGGCTACAAGGCAGCAGCACGGGGTCCCGGTAGATGCCCTGACAAACGGGACAGGTCAGGTCCTGCTGGAGAGGTACAGGCTCTTCCGACATGTCTTCATCCATACTGTCAGCCATGGCTTCACGGGCCCTCTTCAGTTTACTTTCGTTATTGACAAACCCCCAAACTGATGGATACACACAGGAAAAATGCGCACTCACTTGGCTGCGTGATAATGTCAATGCTTATAGGTTCTCAAAAATGAAGAAATAGTATCGGCGACAGGCTTATTAAGGAGCTACTGAACAACACAACATGTACGATCACAACGAGAAACAACTTCTGTGCCTCCTTTTCCGTTTGGACAGGCAGCAAAACTGATCAGGGTTTATACAACACTGCCTTCTAGTGGAGCTGGAGGTTGTAACAGAAAGTATTCTGAACAGATCTCACTGTAGCGTGGTGCACGTCTGAACCCGTGTGCACACCTGGCAGAGAGGGGGAAACAGTGTTACAATGATGCTATAGCTATGTGAATTAAGGCCACACTTTTACTACCCCATATACCATATAGCCTACTAATCATTTACAGGACATTTATTTGACATTGAAGTCACAAGTATGTCTATGAAGATTCTCAGTTATCCAGGTCATAGTTATCCAACGAAGGTTAAAATCAAGGGCAACTGGACTTGGTTGAAGATACTGGAAGACGTTTCGTCCCTCATCCAAAAGGACTTCTTCAGTTCTGACTGACTGGCAGGGAAACTCAGCTATTTAACCTCAGTGGGGTCGTTATCCCGGGTCATCGATACCGCTGGTTCGTTAGTGTTCCTTGTTGCTGTGACGACAGTCGTTAAGACTACCTGTGGCCAAGACTGAACGACCATCGTTGGTATCTTCACCTGAGGCCAATAGGTTACGTTTGTTGAGTTTCCTGGGAAGTGATGAAAGGACAGCATTGTAAGTGGGGGATAAGTGGTGGCGTAGACCCCCTCCCCTGTTCAATGACGGCTTCTCAACCCTGGTGTAGATGCTTCCTTGACACCTCTTTCAAACCATCCATCTTCTCTGTCTAAAATGTGCACCTGGTGGTCCTCAAACGAGTGTCCTCTGTCCTTCAGATGTAAGTAGACTGCAGAGTCTTGACCTGAGGAGTTGGCCCTTCTGTGTTGAGCCATGCGTTTGTGTAGTGGTTGTTTAGTCTCCCCAATATACAGGTCTGTGCAACGTAACCTATTGACCTCAGGTGAAGATGCCAACGATGGTCGTTCAGTCTTGGCCACAGGTAGTCTTAACGACTGTCGTCACAGCAACAAGGAACACTAACGAACCAGCGGTATCGATGACCCGGGATAACGACCCCACGGAGGTTAAATAGCTGAGTTTCCCTGCCAGTCAGTCAGAACTGAAGAAGTCCTTTGGATGAGGGACGAAACGTCTTCCAGTATCTTCAACCAAGTCCAGTTGCCCTTGATTTTAACCTTCGTTGGATAAAGTCACAAGTATGTCTTTTTATTTGCAGTGCACTCTGTTTCAACAGGCTCAGATGTTTTATTAAACTCAGTTCTCCATATGAAGCCATACACTGTAGTATATTATATAAAGATATTTAAATAAATGTTTTGTCTGATGTTTTGTCACTTGGTCCTGGAGAAACAATATGTCATTCAGCTGTAGTAGAAAAAAACAAACAAACATGACCCTGAACTTAACAGCCTAGTCTTTGTTTGCCAACTTGTAATCCTGCTTGTCTCAGATAACTGAGCAGTTGCTGTATCGTCATGCTAAGACACATCTCTGTCTTCCTCTGTCAGCAGAGCAGAGTGAATGAGGGCGCCAACTAGACTCTCTAAGGTTCCTTTAAAAGATGACTTGTGTCTTTTATATTTAACTAACTATTTAACTATTTGTATTTGTCTTGCAGCCTATGTAATGCAACATTTATTTATTTGGCAAAGGATGTCTTAGTTTTCTTTTTTAAAGAAACATGCTTTTCAGATTTTCTTTCTTGATGTTTGTGCTTGCAAGAGAAGGATCAGAAGTTCTCTGTTATCAGTGCCTCACTCCCGTTTGCTGCAGCTGATTATTATATATATTATATATTATATTATCTGTCCCAGTGTCCACTGTAAAGACTTTGCGCTGAAAGCCAAACCTTCTCGCACATCCAACTTCAACCTTCATGCATTATTTACACACACACAAAAATATGAAATGTCATGTTTTCATAAAAAATTTTTTTGTGGCTGTAGTATGCAAATATACCCAACAGATGGAGCCACAATGACACGTGACATTGCATTGTGACCGTTGCATTCATCGTTGCCCTGCTTGTAAAACTCTAAACAAACCACATTCAAGGTCACTGTGACAACATGTGTGACAGAGGTGTGCTCTTTTCTTGAGTGTCTATCCTTTAAAGAATGTATGTCACAGTGTAGCTCACAAAAGTATTTGTTAATGTTATGTACTAAAACCCTCCCTAACACACCTAAAATACTGGACAGGGCTGAAAAGAGCGGGGGAAAACAAAGACAAACCTTCTCTCTAACATTCCCCTCCTTTTCCATTTTCATGTGTTCTATATTAGTGTTATATATATACATATATATATACATATATATATATATATATATATATATATATATATATATATATATATTAGTGTTCAAAGAGTTCCTTTATTATAGGGGCTGCTCTGCCGCTCTACCTTTTGTGGTACTCGTGGGCTTCACGTACAGTGGATTATTTTGTTTTCACTCTTAGAATACGGCTTGTCAGTGGCCTCCAATAGCACGAAATTATAACAAGTTTGACTACACAATCACTTCTTTTGTTTGTTGTTTTATTCTTGTCAGCACAAAATGTATGAAAAAAGCTACATTTTAGTCATGCACCTTTTGACACGAAAAAATCGGTCAGCATTTTTGTTCTTTGCTATTTTAGATTAACTATGCACGATGCTACATGTCACAGCAAATGTCACACAGGAAATCCACAAGTGATCTGGTGGCTGTTTCTTTTTACATGTAAAATAAAAAATTCATCTGTTTTCGTGGGAGTTTTGCTCTCTCAGCAGGGAATGTTTAGTGATCTTAATGTGGGTGTTGTAAACCGTAGACTAAGGCAAAGTGTCATGATGCATCGAGTGACATGACAATGTAGACTGTGAAACGATATAAACTTATCAGAGATTATTTAAAAATAGTTTATACCTGAGGTAGCTATCCCTTTAATGTCTCTTGTGGCCAATGTTGCAAATCATTGGATTTTCCCAAAAAAACGCAGCCTACTATAATACTGATTATCAGTATTTGCAATATGACATTTCAGATAACTGTCACAATCCAACTCAAGGCTGCACAAAGGAGGGGAGGCCACACATGAGTTATAACTAAAAATTAATTATTGTTCGGTCATGAACCCTGGAACTAAAAAACATTAGACATAAATTTACAGCTAAAATTCCCTACCCTTAGTTTCTGGTCCCTTTGCAGCCATAAGGTTGAAATGCATGTTAAATACTTTTTCATTCATAAAATAAATAGGTAGGCCCGCAGGCAAACTCCTCCATCTTGTGCTGGCCCATAAATTATAGGCCCCTTCAACTGCATAGGGTAACATTTTACAATGCGGTACGCAAAATTGGAACAAGTGAGGAACTATATGATAATTAATGAATAAATTAATACTTAGTTTAGTGAATAACTCTGAATGGAAGACCAGTAGTAGATGATGATTTAGTAGAGGACTGACTGGAATCATGAATCGACATTCTGACCACTTTCTTCATGAGCCATTCCTGATTAACTCTGAACCAGCACAAAACTAATAAACAATAACCATCCTTAATCATTTGTTAGGCTACTCTTTTTGCGCCCCCTCAAGTAAAGTGATACATCATACTAAGTAAGCAAAGCCTTATCACCTACTGCTTATGACAACTAGCTACTGAGTTTTTAAATTCCACAGTAAAAATTGATGTTAGTGACACAGTACATTATGGTGATACCAACCTCTTTCAGTCAAAAACCAGAAGCTGCAGGAAGGATGGCTTGGTGACACAGGGTATTCAAACAGCAGTGAAAAGGATAATGTTCTCAATGTGCTTTGATATTTTATCTATTTAATAACATCATAAAAATATAAATTGAATATAAATAGTTCTCATCTAATAGAGAGAGAAATAGTTCTCATCTCTAATTTAATATAAATAGCCATCATCTTATATTGCTGTGAGCCTCTGACCTGTGATGGCTGTTACTGTTGAATTAGTACACTGATCACAACTAGCTGTGTAAAAATAACTGGTTGCTATTTAAACCTAGCAATGTGACAACCAACACTATGGTACAGGATTATAGGAATCAAAACTAGCAAATGAAACAGATTTATTTTTCAGTTCCTCAAGTGACATGTTTCCATGGTTTCACTATTATACTTTTAACCCAAATTTAGGGGTACACTGGCAACCTAGCATGCCTTGTGAAAAATATACACACACCTTTTTTTTTTTTTATCATTTTACATTTGACATATTTTACAGACACGTGGCAGCATTTAAAAAAAGTGATTTTTCAAAAAATGTGGTATAGAGTTGTAAGCGTACTGTGAGGGGGAAATGTTGGTTACTGACATGCACACCATTGAACAGGTGGTGTTGAAAAATAAGACCCCTTTTCCTGTCAAAACACTTACGTAGTTAGGGCAGGAAAGGCTTATTACACTGGGTCACAACTCAGTCATACAGTAAAATGTCAGGTGTGCATGCTGTTTACATTTTAAATAAAATGAACCACAACTGAATTCCTTTCCAGAAGAGTTTTTTGTAGCTGTGGGCTGAAAAAGTCACTGTCTTGACATTCATGGCCATATGCTTGCACTTCCATCAACATCTCTCACCACAAGACTTGCATAACTCTGCAAACAAAAGAGGAAAGAAAAGGTGTGAAAAAAACAGGAACACGCTCTGAACCTTTTGTGCAGAAGACAGGCAAGGGGAAGCAGACAGACACCCCATGCCGTTGCAGGTGTCGTTATTTGCATGAGCAATACTAAGAACAAAAAAAAAGGTGTGATAAAAATCTTGGGGTTTGGAGGAAGATGACTGCACCTATGAACTGGTAGTAAAAAATGATTTATGGTCAGATTTTACACTGATAAACAGACAATAAAAGATTTTTCACTGATAAACTGACAATACGAAGAGGTTCATTCATTATTTTGATTCTTATCTTCCATTCATGCTCATCAGGCTTATTGTCTAGACTTAATTGCATAGGTGTGAGTTGCTGTTGTTTGTGTGTCAATACTGTTCCAATGCAACTCATAAACAATCCTCTGCTGTTCCTGTCATTTGGTATGTAAGATAAT